TCACGTGTACTCAGTCCGTACTCTGTCTGTAATTATACATCCCCGCGCTCGTCATTCCTTACTGACATATTCTTGCCCTATCTTTGCCCTCTACGTTCGTCCTCACGCCTTTGCCTCGCCCCTTCCTTGAACTCTTCTTTAACTCTTCTTACAATCTTTTGCCACTCCCTACCCCCTTTTTTTATTCGCTATCCTCTTGCTCTGGTTACTTCGTATTTCCACATATATTCTCCTTCTTATCTCCTTCTTTCCACCCTCATCTCTATGATTTATTTCTTACTGCTCTTGCCGCCTTCCCTCCCTCCCACCTTCAACGTTTCCTTAAATGAAAAACTCGTCCTCTGGGGCGAGGCTGGGAACGACGCCCCGAGGTAGACTGATGGTCACTTACTCACTTAAAACGTCCCCTCCCCCATATTCTCCTCAGCTCATGTTTCAGACACACACCTCCTTGATATCATTGCTGAAGGCAACAAACAGACAGAGGTACTAAATGAATACAAATGCAAATCGTATTATCGCCTCGGACTTAAGATTACTTGTACACCTCATTATCGCTGGCATCATGAAGGCAAGAATCGTTTCTGCGCTTTAGGGAGTATTTTCGTGTGGGGTCCTTTATGAGGGAGTAACGGTGAAGACTACTTTTTCTGTCTTGGGAGGAAAAGCCTTTAGTCTATCGGACGTTAAATGGTGTCTGGTTCAATTTCCACAAGCACACGACGAGGTGAGGCGTTGGGAGAAGAAGTGGGGATGTAAGAGAGAATCAAATATCACCGGCCGATAGAGTCTACAATGCCCTAATCAAAGCCTAAGCTCGTCGACTATGTTGACAGTGGATGCTTACAACATCGCTGCCCAAAGGGACTCGCGCTGCACGTCAATCACACAGCCTCCAACTCGTCTTAGTGTCCAGGTTTCCGGCGTCTAGTAGCACGATCACACGTCTCATCACGACACACGACGACTCTGGCAGATAAAATCTTGCCCGGTAGCCTATGTGACGCCTCGGATCGGTCGTGGCGACGACCTGAACCACTACGAGTCTGCTAAACGAGGGCCGGCCAACGCTACTAAGTCAAACTGTCCTATAATTTGCTGAAAATCTTATTGGATCGTAATTGGCAGTCTGATTTTTGGCCAGGTAACATTAACGTGGGTTCGGGCTGAGGTTTTATCCCCCTCCTCCTCCCTCTCTTCTTCCTACCCCCCCATACTCCATCTTCCCCTTCTCTTCCTTCCCCCACCTCTCCCTATCTCGCCCACCCTTCCCTCTCTGCCCCACCCATCCCTAATAATCTCGCTACACTCCCTCTCGTCTCCCCCTGAGAAAAATTTTGGACCCCTCAAAAAATAAGTAAATTATGCACTGAAAAATATTAAACATACTAATCCCATTATAGTATATTCACATCACTTAATTAATGTATTTTCTTAATCTTACTTGCTATGATAACTGTCTTTTGAGTTTAATGTGCATCATCATATTATATTTCCTAGTATCTGCTTCTTATTTATATTTCTAATTATTCGTAATGGATTCTTGGTTAAGGCAATTCAGTGTGACCGGTTATATAAATTCTTTCTCTTTGAAGATTTGAGTTGATAGATTTTACGTCTTTATCTCACTTCCCTCTGTTACCTCCACCTTTATTTTTTCTTCGTTTTCATCATTTTTTTTTCCTTTGCATCTCACTTTCTTCTGTTATCTCTACCTTTCTTCCTCCTTCTCTTTCATCACTATCTTCTCTTCCTCGTCTTCTTGTCTCCTTAGCTAATTCTCTTCTTTCTGTGTTCAACCTCATTTAATGTTTTACCTCTCCTTCCTTGGTTTTTCCTTCTCACCTTCTTTATCGTCTTCCTCTTTTCCTTTGCCTACCCCTTCCTGTTATCCAAGACCCATATCGTTCTTATCCTTAATTTCTTCCCTTCACTTCTCTCTCCATCTGGCTCTCCTATTTCTTTCTTTCTACTTCTTCCTTATCTCCTTCTCCTCCTCTTCCTTGGCATCCTTTTTCATACATATCCATTGAATACCTCTTGGTTTCTTCTTTTTCTTCTCTTCTTCCACCCAAACTTCTTCAAAACTTCTGTATCATCCCCTTACTTCCTTCTTCTCTCCAGCCTCTTAATAGACCCCTTCCAGTCTTCCTTCCCTTTCCCCTACAATTTTCCCTTTTTTTCCTTCCTTCCTTCCTTCTTTTATTCCCAACTTCTTTATTTTCCCTTCCATTCTTCCTTCCTCCTCGTCCCTTTCCTTCTACCCCAATTTCTTTACCTTCCCATTCCATTCTTCCTTCCTCCTCGTCCTCTTCCTCCCCAACGTCTTTACCATGTTTCTCCTCCCTCCTCCTGCTCCGCTTCCTTCTTCTTCCCCTTCCTCTTGTCTTCCTCCCCCTTAACTCTGCAGAGATTTTTACGATGCTATGACACGACACTCGCCTATGACATCCATCCAGACATACCTGATAGTTACTCCATATAACACAGGAGGGGCCAGCTACACGACAGACACACACACACACACACACACACACACACACACACATACTCATAAGGAGGAGAGCTGAATCACCATCATAAAAAACGAGACACACACACACACACACACACACACACACACACACACACACACACACACACACAGGGGATGATACACGTCATACACTGTCAATCATACAGACACGAGGATTGTACCGACCCTCAGAATCGATCCATCATATGTATTACTCTCCATTATACAGAGAGAGGTATACAAGATTTTAAACGTCATACACTATCATCTTTCAGGCACAAGAGGAATATACACACTCAAGATTCCATCATACACAGAGAGGTATACGGGATATGGGCGTCATACACTGTCATATATAAACAAGGGAAATGGAAAGGCTGGATCACTATTAATAAGCATACGGATATTCAATCAGTCAACGAATGAGTCCAATGATTAGGGTATTCTTCAGTGTCACTCAGGGTTTGTGTGCCATCTTCAATAAAGGTGTTGCCAGGTGTCACTCAGGTGGTGCCACTGATGCCTTGTGTTAGTAAGGTGGTGCAGGTTGTCTCCTTTGTCAATCAGGTGGTTTTAATCTTAACGTGTCACGCAGATGGTTCTTGTTTTAATTTATGTCACTCAGGTTGTAGAGGTGTTGTCAGGTGTTTTATCTTTATGCAAATTAATATAGTGTCACTTCTGCATGACCTTCTCAAACTTCAGATATGATATCATACCTCTTTCCTCATAACGTCAAGAAAAATATCGTTATAAGGATGTTAGATTTGCCTCGCAACGTCAAAAGATTCCTCATAAGACATCAAGGAATACCTCAGAGGGTTTACCGTTCATGCTTAAGTCACAAGCCTCAGTCAGCTGCAAAGTGCTCACATTTGTCTCACTATTGACGCGTGTTGAAGCAATGTCCACCATTTTCCATTTCTTCAACACTGTGTATGGTAAAAGTGTTCTGACATCATATATGTTTACTTCATAGTGGTATCCCATGTATTTCGTGGTATTAACAAATGCCCTTCAAGATATTTTGTGGCACCATAAAGGTCATATCATAACGTTTATATCCCTTTCATGGTGTCCTTAAATGTTCCTTCATAGGGCTCCATTAGATGTCTTTATATAATGCAATTTTAATATACCTATGTTTTAGTATTTAATGTCCATTCTAAAAACAATAAGTGTTCCTCTCATGGTCTTCAGTAGAACGTAACTGGATATAACATTTATATTTGCGTTTTCAGATCAGAGAGCATTTAAAAGTTTCCTTGTCTTAGCCTGAGCAACAATGTACCAATTCTTTACTTTATAATTCAAGACTGTAATTTACTCAAAGGCTACGTTATATACGAGTACATGCCCTCACGTTGCACTGATTTGTACCTGCCGTGTGATTAAGTGCGACACTAATTAAACTGATTATTAGAAGTCATGAGCTCTTGATATTTTGCTGTGGAGGAAGTAGTATAAATAAAGGCTTAAGAGAGAGTAGAGTAGACAGGAGACAGTGTAAGACGGACGAATAAACAGAGAGACAAACAGAAAACAAGGAAAAACCAAGCGAGTGAGAACTAAACTAATATAGAGAGGCAGATAGACAGACAGACAGCCACCTAGAATGAGACGGAGACACAAACAGAGAGCGAGAGACAGTAACGCCTCTCATTATCACCACCACCACCACATTGCCATCAACACTAACTAAGCCACACGTAAACACCTCTAGGATGAAGGACACAGGAGGAGGCCCCCAGGTGTTGGACAGGTGAACGCTGAGGCTATCAAGGGGGAAGTGTTGGATATTAATAGCTAATGAGCTATTGCATGTTATTGTGCCGTCAACCGTTGATCACCGTATCTGATAATGAGTGCCAGAGATAATTACTTGTGATGATATCCCTATTGAGACAGCTGTGGTAACGTGTAGTATTACCTCAAATAAATTAATAGCTTACAAGGAGGTGAAAAAAAGGCAGTTGACGACGATATTATTTCTTCCATTGTTTAAGAAGTGTGTGTGTATGTGTGTGTGTGTGTGTAAATTGACGTTTTTTTTCCTATCACTAAATGATTGTTAGTTTTTTCCAGGATAAAGTTATTATCTTTCGTCACGCTGAACTTATTTTATGTGACTTGTTGCAGTGTACAGAAATTTAATCTTTGTTCCTTAAACTCTTCAGTAAATGTCTAGTCTACTTGCCCTTGGAACTCTTAAAGTCATGATACTTACGTATAAAATGTCATAACTATTAACATATTCAAACATGATTTACAAATTAGATATAGTCTTATATTTGATGTGTCTTGTGTGATGACTCCTCCCTTGTTATCTAGATGCTATCTAATTTGCATACCTGTGAATCATATCATACATTTATGACGCTTAATGATTGCCTTACATGTTCAGGCAATTAACAGGTTATTCCTATCCGTGAATGATGACATCCTCGTCTTGGAACCCAAGTCTAAATCTCTTAATTTTTTGCAGGTGAAAATCTGGTTCCAAAACCGACGCATGAAGCTGAAGAAGGAGCTGCGAGCGGTGAAGGAAATCAACGAGCAGGTGCGGCGGGAACGAGAAGAGCAGGATAAACTCAAGCAGCAACAGGATGACAAGAAGACTAACAAGGAGCAACAGCCGTCAACAGGCAGCAGCCAGCCAGCTTCAGCCTCCAACGCTTCCTCCTCGTCATCGTCTTCGTCTACGGGAGGCGGCACCGGAGACACCAAAGCTGCGACTTAACGTTATGGTGTTTGCTCCCCACAAGGGCGTGCTGCTGCTGCTTATTTAAACAAAAATCTCCACTTCACGCCCACCACAATCAATGACATGCACGCCCAACCAACCACTCTCACGTCCACACCTCCAGTAGAAGCTCCGCCCACCATCCCCGACCCTCAGGCGCTTCACCTCGATGACAACCTCGTTACCTTACTCGACTACCACTTAGATATGTGAAGTGTAGTCCTAAATTAGGATTTATCTTGCCTTAGTGTTGATAAACATAGAAGACCAAATTGGTCATATGATTGGCCAGTCAAACAAAACAGTTTCATTTGTGCTGAAATTTGAACTCTGGAACCAAAGCTCCTCTATTTCGCTGGCGGATGGTTGCCACAGAGAATTATAAATGCAAACCTTCACCTCATCTGGGCAACCTTACGCCACGTAGTGCTGGTTCCAGGCTTCTTCGACCCCTAGAGACAGCGCGTTGAGGTGCGGGGTGTGGACATGAACAGAGGGCACTTCAGGAGCTGGGCCACCAGGTTTCTCGTGTGCTCGACTCACCGCGGAGCTCCTATAAACCTCCACCACCAACTTCTACAGTGAACGCAGATGTTACTTTTTCCTAAAGCAAAATATCACAACAACACCTGATAAACAGTTCCAGAAAACAATAGACAGCCACCAGCTGCAATGCAGTATGAGATCCCCTTAGTATAGGATATGCCAGACATTGCGATCTAAGGAAACTGTTGCTTCAGCTTCCCTGTGTAACAATTCCTCCAGCTCAAAACTGGTATTCCGAGAAGTAAATAGACAAAACAGACTCTAAAACTCTCTCCTCCTCCAGAACTTGACCCCGAAAAACCTTCATAACACACACAGCTCTACGACACATTCTCATGGAGTACTCCAGGGCAGTTGGAAACACAAATCTTTAATTTCCACTTAATTTTTTGCTGAGACGCTCCAAATTGTGAACGTCTGTATCCAAGTATTTTTTAAACTTTGAGGGGGGCTTTGTTGTCGAGACACAGGCACAGGTCCCCTTAAAAGAGAGAAAAGGGAAAATGAAACTGATTTTTTGATCCAGAATGTGGTCCAAGAAGCCTTAAAGTACTCGATGTAGAATGCGTGAGGCAAAAAACTGACTACGATAGAGGAAGATTCATGCGCTTCGTGTATGAATTAGTGAATGATTTGTTGAGAGCCTAACTAGAATTGTTATATCGTAAGAGTATTGTACAAGACACCAATGACCACTTTTCTTAACTAACAAGTATGGTCCCTGAGTCCCGATGCTAGATGGATAATGATATGATGTTCCCCATCCCCTTCATTATTTTTTAAGTAATTCCATGTTAGCTAAATGTTATTTTAATCGGAATAGTTATGTTTCTCTTTGTAAATTAGATATTAACCAAGGATTCCAGCTTTAAGTTCCTGAAAAGATAAAATGCTGTAGTTTTTTTCGACTTGTTTGACGGATTAAGAAGACTGTAGTGCAGTGGCTGAGTGTTGTTACATTGTAAATGGATTATATTTATTTCTATTAATTGTTATGTTTGTCTTGAGAATCGATATAGGGTTGACTGCCACGCCAGGTATAGCTGGGTGGTGTACATGTAACCTTGTTCGTTGTGTACATGTGGCCCCCCAAAGATGCCATGGCTCAGTACAAAGAAGGAGAATTTGTATTGAAACTCTCTGTCAATCATGTAGCTGTTCCTACTGTTAACAATTGTTATTCTTTGCTGACGAAAAGTGAATTGGATTTTAGTTGAAAACTCCCCAACTCAAGGCGTCTTGTGTACAGCAGAGAGTTTCAATAGGTACGACAACGTATGTGGAAGTGTTAGTGCAATAGCCGATATGCTAAATTAGAGCTTTAAAGGTGGATAAATATTATTTTGGAAGCTATGAATTTCTAGGCTTAGAAAAAGTTAGAAGAGCGGGTTGTTAAAATCCGTTCTCGGATACCTCTCTCCTCCGAATTATCTTAATTGTAATAATGTGTGTGCATAATAACTGTTTACCTAAGGCCAAGGAGTGTGCATAATTACTGTGACACAGAAGGAAGCGGTGACATTTGCCGAGACCTTTGGAAAGGCGACAATGGGATCACTGGCATTTCACCAGGTCACTTTCTCGTCTCTTTAAGGGTTCCGGACTGCTCAACTGCTCTTTCTTGTCAGCCAGAAGGCCAGGGTCTTTTGTGTAGTGTGTAAGGAGTTGACTCTGCAGTGTCCTGGCTTTCTGTTACTTTAAAATTCCTATAAAAACAGAAAAAATACAGTAACTGAAAAGTTAAACAAATCAACAGATAACAAGTTTGAGAGAGTCAGGGGACTGAGCAGATTCAATAATGAGTTGATATGGGATAAGATCTCACGTGGTAAACAGTGGACATGGTTTCATGGTAGATATTTTGATTACTTTAATCTTATGTTATCATAGTTTGTATTTTGGCATTTTTTTTTAGGTCCTGTTTGGCAGTTCGTCTTTGCTTTCATTAGGGATCATTCTCCTTCGTTTCTTTCACCATCTGTGAGACATGTCCAGCTGTTGTATAATTTATAATGTATTTAGGTATTGTTATGCAAAAAAATTATGACCATATGTTGATAATTATAAGTTTTTGAATGGATGAAGTGATGAAATTGTCTTTTTTCGTATAAATGGTAATGGTTATGTTTACTGCTGAACTTGACAAAGTAACCATCGAGACTAATCTTGTCTCATATTCTTACTAGAGAAACTCAAAAGTGCTGTCATTGTAAATCAATTTTTGATAACAGGGAGTTTAATGTATGCACGTGTGTCGAGTATTGGTGCCTGAGAATCGTCTGGTTAGGAACAAAAGTTCTTTAGGCGTTTAGAAATCTTACAGGTTGTAACCTCATGATTTCCAAAATTTATGCATTAGATAAAAGATTCTCAGTTGTTCAGAATTTAAAATACAAACAAAACTTTACTTGCAAGTTCTGCTCTCTCCCGTGACGATCATGGAGCTTAAATAAACTCCTTGTTCTTGTGTTCAGTATTCCACAAAAATAAAATAAAATTGTAAGACTGACTGAATTCTTAAAAACTCCATTGAGACCGCCTAGAGCATGTGACTCGTACATTTAGCGGGACTCGCATGATCGCAGACCCCAATTAACTCGTGAGATATAGGGCATCGAACGCCACACATCAGTGCTTCTTATTCTCCTGTCGGGAACAGGAACAGAACTATTTCTCAATGGTCGCACACAGGACTCGGTTAACCTTTCTTCGGTGGAGCGTGGGGCATGACGTCACGGTAGTGTTATGGCAATATATATATATATATATATATTTTTTTTTTCTCTTTCCTACTGATCTATCTGCTACGACGGTCACTTTTCCTCTCACGACTTGTACTCGTGTTTACTCTTGCCAGCACTCCTACTTCTTATAAACTCTTTGAGGTTATTGTTGACCTGCAGGATACGCAAATGGGTTGCTTAGTGTACATTTAAATGGAATTTTTGGCACGTTCAAATGAAAGCTCTCCATGGGAGTTCCAGTATTGATTGCCTTCCCTCTGGAGACTCATTCTTCAAGTGAGGTGCTGTGATTAATGTTGTTTATTTGTGAATTCAGTATTGTATGGAAGATGTTGCTGACCGATGTTGAACACCTTCCCTGAAGTGAGGTTTATAGTCTCACTGTTGCTGATGTTTCTTCGTGAGGGAGATGTATCTTACTACTGCTTCTGAAGAAAGAGTGACCTCTAACAACTATTCTTTTAGGAGATCATCTCTTGATGGTCATATTCAATGGAACGTTTATCTATATGACTGTTGTTCTTTACAAAACAGCTTTTTGTAGATAGACGTTCTTAAAGCGATCATGAGACAGTAGTGTGGGGTCGACATTTCCGTGTGAGCTAGTTGCTTCATGAGGACTGTTCTTCATAACACTAACATCACAACGGAAGTTTTCGTGATTTACTTGCATCATGACAGGTTATGAAAAGCACCTCAGGTAGTGTCTTCCTCACGATGCAGCACATTTAACGCGTGTACCTAGAGGAAAATCTTCCAACTACTGACAATGACTATGAAGAGACCCTGAGCTGTACGTCTTAAGATACTTGTAATTTGGAGAAACAGAGGGATTTTTCTAACTGTGTTTCAAGTCATGAAAATTTCAATTCCTTCTATCTTAAGTAATGGAAGCATTCTTTTATGCTCTCGATAAATAAGAAATTCCAAACATTCATTCCCTCTGGAAGGACAGGCGATGGTCCTTTTAGTTTCTCATTGACTAAGGGAAGTCTTGGCACGTATTAGCTGTTGGTCTCAGTACCACAGCACATATACACTCACCACAGAGTGTTATGTGCCTCTACCACTACGACTATTATTGCTGTTGCTGTTATTTCTGACAAGAGGCTTGAATGGCACTTGTACCAGAGACAGATAAACAGATCAGTTTGGTGAGGTTCAGCCTCCCAGAAATGACTTATATTCTCTACTTGTGACTCACGTGAATCGCTATCCTAATCATTAAGTGTCACTGTACTTGATCAAGTACAGTGACCTACAGTGTCATACGAGTTACTCTTATGAACTCGAATTATTTCACGAATTTTCAGTGATTCACGAATCCTAAGAAGTGTTTCATGGACACAACGTTCTTCACAGACTTTCAGTCTTTTATGAACATCAAGTGTTCCATGAACACTATATGCTTTGTGAATACTAGCTGCTTCATGAACTCCAAGTGCTTCATGATCACTTATATGTTTCATGAACACTAAGTGCTCCATGAACACAAACACTTGCCAGAATACGTATATCTCAGACTGTGGAAGCAAAACTAAAAAGAATGGTTGCAAAACTTAGGAATGGTGTGTAGCAAAGGCCGAGGACACACAGAATTAGACACAAAATAAAATATATACACGTTTTCGAAAACCGTGCACACGTAACCCTGGAAAAAAGTGCTGTGTACTGATGTATCCACCATGATGTCAGTGTTCTACAAAAAAGTGTATCCATAGATGTTTAAAATTGTAAGTAATTTTATAAATGTCCTTTGTGAACTTTTCAGTAACAGATACGTGTAGGAATTTCCGTTGGTCTTTCTCTCTCTGTCTCTGTAATCTCTCAATCTCTTTCTCCCATTTCTTTCTGTCTCTCTCTCTCTCTACCTCTATCTCTATCTCTCCATGTGTGTTTTCAATGGCTATGCGTAAGCTAGGCTAATGTAAAAAAAAGGGAAATAATGGACCTTTTATTCATCGTATGTTATGCCAAATAATTTGTACTTACATGCGGCTGACTGCACAATGTGTTTTTAGTAGGACCATGTATAAAAATACTGCACTGACAATACTCCTTGTAAAAAGTCTAAGATTTTCTAATGTTCGCTTAATAGTTCATGTAGCTGACTCTCCTTCCCTCAGCTTGGAGCAAGTAGAGGTCTTCAATACGTGACAGATGTGAAGCTATTTTGAGCCTTATGCAGTCCTGATATAATGGTCCCCTTAGGTAAAGCTCAGGGAAGCTCGTCTCGTCACTGATAGATGTTTTCAGCTTTACTCTGTAAGCTGTTGACTCATTGACATCCGTGGATGATTTTTGTGCACTCCATAAGCTCTTTAGGTGTTGTTCACTAATTTAAAAGAAGGGGCAGTCAGAGATTTTTTTTTAATTTTTTTTTGGCAGATGATAACACAACAAACAAAATCCAGATGTTTCAGTTTAAGAGCCTGTAGCAGAAACATTAAATAAAAAGCGTTCCCCGAGTCCGCAGGGATTCGATTTTTTTGAAAGAAAACTGAACACAAATGGCAATAGCGTTGCTCACTTAACAATCATTTTGGCTGAAAGCGTATCAGCCAATTAGATTAAAAAAATGAAAAACATAATGTCTTTGTTATAGAATGCGTGTACATTGTTTCATCTTTATTATTGTATTGTAATAAGCAACATATTGTTACATGCGTACAAAACCACAGAACAGGCTAGGACACATTTTTCATTATTATTATTTAAGCGCATCCCAGTGTTATACATACTAGGTGTAAATAGAATCTAAATGTCCTGTCCGTGTTGGTCGGCTGGGAGGCGAAGACCTAGGGACTACGAATGGGGCGAGTCGGCACAGGAGGGTCATCGACGAGGCCAGGAACCTACCACGGGAGGGAGGGAAGGATGGTAAGACGGGGAAGTTCAAGCTTGGGGTGAGGGAGATGTCTAGGGTTTATCAGGGTATTTAACAGAGGTTTTTAATAAGTTTTATTAGGTTGCAGAGGGTTTTAGTATAGCTCAGCTGCTGGACTTCCGGTTCGGATCCATAATCGGTAGGGGTCACGCGACACAGCTCCTCCATTAGCTGTGATGGAGTGACTCAACATGGTGTTTGTTCCGTTTTCTCTCTTCTTCTTTTGTTTCTCGTCTTACCGGCAACACGAGCCATATCTACATAGTAACTGCTCAAGCCAGCTTAAAAAAGACTAGCTTTGCCACTATCACATTGCAGCGATCACATTCCCATATATAAATAAAATCACAAAATGTTCAACCTAATTCACTGTTGGGTTCCCCGCCTCGACGCCCCCGACCAAAGACTCTCCCCCTCGTACCTCGCCCTGGGTCTCCGTCTACCACCTTCGACTGCTGTGCTTGTAGGGTTACCCGGGTCAGGGATGTTGTGATGGCTTACATACCTAGGGAGCCGCTGGTCATCTACATCACATGTAAGATAAGATCTTAAACGCAATACATTCAATACCTCGTAGTTAATATGTCTTTTTTTTTTCTCTTCCTGAGAAAGTGGTGAAGAACTTAAATGTCTTCACCCCACACCTTAGGGGAAAACACTGCATTATTCCCAGTGGTGTGGAACGGTCCTATAAGTGGCTATCAGTGGAAAAAGGGTACCATAATCAACCTCACAGTTAGATCAATATAAGCTTCCTAGTGACCAAGCTACCACTGCCTTGCTGACCCCTTCCTCAGACGCGTCTTGTGGTGCAAAACCAGATATTAGAGAAACAAATGGACCAGGGGCAAAGGTTATACGAAACTGTTTGGCTGCAGAGCTCTACTTCAGGGGCTGTTCGTCTAACACTTTTGATATAATACCAACTTTATGGGACAAACATGCTCTCAGTGTTCATATAATTGCACAATTTCCCTGATGGGTAATAGTATGTAAAAAATATTCCTATCTAATGCTTGAGTTTGTACAACCAAATGCGTCTTTTCCGTGTCTGTAGGTGTGCCCTTCTTGACCTCAAACGTTTTACACAAACAAGGCAGCTCTGAGCTCTACTGAAAACGTTGAGAATTATTTTCTACTTTCAGCTGATGGACCACTTTTTCTTCTCCCCCAAATGCGCGTTAGTACTACCTAAAATGTAATTATAGTGCGTTAGATATGGCTTTTTTTTTCATTCTCTCCTTTATAATAATTTTTCATCATTGTTGCAAGTATTGTTTTCCAGTGGCCCACAACAAGATAATATTTCTCTTTTAAGTAAGCATATGTTTGTCCAGAAGGGTTGAATCATGTACAGATATGATTATTGTTTCAAGAATACTGTTTGGAACATTGAGGGGTCCTCTTTAAGCCTCTTATGTCAAGTGGAATAATGTACATTGTAGTCACCAAAACTAATAAACATAGAATGCCACACCATGTTTACTTTTCCAAGCTATGACAATTAAGCTGTCCTCATTTACTTCATGGGAGCCACAAAGCACTTGAAGAATGAAGCCAGGGAAGTTTTGTAGATATTTGAGTTTAGTAATTATAAGAGTGTGTAGGTAGGTTGTTGTTGTGAGGGTATGAGACCAACATGGCGGACCCCTCACAAGAGAGAGAGAATGAGATTTTAGAAAATATTTTTGCATTATCCAATCGCTAACGAGCTCCAGCACCCAACACGGGGGAGGAGAACTCACCAGTATTCTAGGTTGTCACAAGAGCGGTTATGCACCTGGCGTGTCGGTCCTACATATATAATTGTCGACATTATACTGCAACTTTGTGGTATAAATCCTCAGCTCGCATCTTGCCGATGTAATTAATGAACAACGACTCCGCCCCCTCGACCTTCACGTTGGGCTCATTTTGCCTTGTGAAGCTCAGCAGACGACTAGGTTGCACCTAGAGGTTACCTGCCTTCCACCCTTTGAGGACACACGATGGATATAGTTACCCTGGTAATTATAGCGACGACTGCTGTGGGGGAGAGGGGCCGAGTCCTCAGGTAGCTGGCTGACCAGGTCCTGCCTCGCTGTTGTTGTTGTCTTGGTGTACTTGGGTGGAGTGGAGGTTCTCGCATGGAGACAATAGAGAGAGTTGCTCACGCACAAAAACACATTTGGTTATTTGCTTCATTCGTTCATTAACGCGATGTAATAAGATTTTGATCAGCATGAAATCTAAAGTATCAATTTGATTGGTCAGGTTCACGTCGTTTTTGCTTTTTGAAACTCCATTAAGTTGATAGGTTTTTACAGGAAACAGTTATGACAGAATAATAATCCATTGGTGAATGTTTCCAGGAACTCTGCACTTCATTATATAAAATGGCACCTGCTATCTGTACCTGTAATGGCGGTGGTAGTGACAAATAGTCAATCTTTCTCCTCTCTTCCCTGTTTTGTAAAAATTAATTTCAACCAACATAATAAGAGAAAGGCAATTGCGAATTCTTATCGATTATTAAAAATAAGTAACACTAAGACGCCCCGAAGGCTGCGAGGCGTTTGAAAGCAACCCTGGAACACGATTTGCATTACTTATGAAAGGCCAAAGGTTATACTGCACGATTATGTTGCTGCGGAGCGATGGTGTGATACCTCCAGAATCAGGTTTTTCCCCCACCTGTCTTCGCTTCACCATAAACCAAAAGTCTCAAGAAAGACTCAGACTTGTGTCTTTGACCAAACATGTGTAGGCGTTAGCATGGGAAGACGATGGGGAAGAAAGTAGAGGTTTGATCCTTGTTAACAGGAGATTGGAGTAATGTTTGATGGTAAGATTCTAACAGATACTTAAGATTAATGTCTCAATAGGAAGGTAGTAGCTTAGGAGGTAAGAGTTGGTTTGGCTGGATAAATTGTAAGAGGGAAGGAGATTTTCCGATATGATGTGACTATTTATCTTAAGGCTTGAAACCACTACTTCGTCTTCTGTAATGATATATGTTACAGCCATTCGTAGAGAGAAATTACACAGGAAAGTTTGATGAACATGGAGACAGAACTTAAGCAGACCATAACACGTGGAACATATAGAATTCTAGAATTTTAATACGAAGTAAAATAGTTCTCAGATGTGATTACAATAAGCTGTCTAACGTTGGTAATGTAAACTGAAAAAAGTTCCGGTTATATGCATTAGCGTATTTATGTTATGAACTTTAATGTCTGCGTGAAAATGTGGTTACAACTCACATGGAGGAACAGGATGGATACAATTACCCAGATTAGTTTTAAATGTTCGTGTAAATACTTCCTATAATTTATATGAAATGTATGTTAGCAAATGTAACACACGTTGCATTAGCAATGAGGAAGGTAGAGAGTAAAACTGCATTTAGAACAACCAGAATGACAAGATGAAAGTCAAATGTTTGGTAGAGAAGACATGCACAGAAAGTTACAATATGAATTCACATGTGGTAGTTTGCTTCAATGTCAAGGGAGTAGATTATCGTTGTTTATGAGGTGTTCTGAGCTTCGTGACTCGAATACATTTGATTGTTCCTCGAGGCCACCCAGTTAGGGGGGGTAGAGGGGGGGGGGAAGGAGGGTCAGTGGGGTTAGGTAGAAGAAGGGGGCCAGAGAGAGAGAGGGAGAGGAGAGCTAAGCGAGAACCTCTGATGATATGTTAGAGTCCAGTTTCGCTGTGACTTGCAAGCCAGCCATTTATAATTCCTCTGAAACCATGAAATACAATGTAAAATGCGTGCAAGGGCCGGAGGGATACGTTAATGAAAGAACGCTCAGGTTATAAACGCCAGACAGTCATACAAAGGCTATTAGGAGGTCACCCCGAACACGTCTAGGAACCCTGAATGTGGGCGTTTTAAGGCCATAGGGTATGTTGCGGCACACAAAAACGTCTAGTAGAGGGAAACATTACTGTTATGGTCATATACATTGTGTCCTACCTGTAGATTATTCTATTTTTTTTGTTGGTGTGAAAAAAATGTAGATTACAGTTAGAGAACAGGTAAGACCACAATAGATGAAGAAAATAGGCTAAACGAATTAATCTTGGTTTGTCCTTTTTTGGCCACATTTAACTGAACAATCAGAAATACCTTTTATATTCAGATTAGTTACTCTTTTTTGTTGTAAAGTAACGACAAGGGACAGTAGATAATCTCCATAATGAAAAGACGTCGATGCTACATATAATTTTACGGAATATATCTAAGGTTTTATACTTAACAATGATAATTTCTGTTCTAGCTTCCTCATTCATCATGCTGGAATTGAGCATAAGTAAGCAGTTCCTTGCGCAAAAAATAACACAAAATTAACATTCTATTCCTCAGAAATAGAACAGAATGGTCGATGTTGTAGCCCACGCACACAACCCAAACATACGTTAGTCCTGAGTATCTTTATCATGCTTTAACCTTTCACAAGAAAATCCCTTTGGGATGCTGGTAGAGGCATGTAGAGAGTTGTGGAGGCAGCTAAATAAAGCCGACTTCCTCATTATGGCTGCCAATCTCTGTCGTAAGCAGCAAGTAGATATTACTCAGACTTATAGACGGTATTATAGGAACATTGTAATTATATGAGGCTAATTATACGAGCTGAAACCTGCGGCAAAAGAAGCTTGGTGTGGGTACAAAAGCGACTCTCAACAAGCAGATACCCACCTTCGGTCTCTCTTAGCGGGTAGACGTGCCAGCAACCAGGTAGGCAGTATAGGTAGGAGATTCCGAGACGAACCTCAAGCAGTCGATAATTTGATGGGCGGAAAGCAGATAAAGTGATGGGTGGTGACCAGAGAGTCTTACTAAGAGGCACGTGGGAAGGGGTGGGAGAGAGGGATGTCTAAGAAGAGGAATAGGTGGAGGAGGGAGGAATGGGGGTGAGGGGACGGTGAGTGGGGGCAGTGAACCATGGCCATGGTGGGCGGTGGCTACCAAGGTGCACCAAACCTCAATATGGTGACGAGAATCAGCAGGGTGATGGTGGGGGAAGCCATTGTGCTCACAGCTGGACCCACTTAAGGTAGTCACCTCGCTTCAATAGCCAGCTACTTCCTATCTGGGCTCTGAGTCCTCCTATATGACGAATAAATACGTTTCTTGTAGTATTTAAACAGTTAAATAATTCTTGACTGGATATTTAGGTCAATATAGTACATTAACAGGTGTCAAAGTCACACACACGGTGGGTTTCGATTTTCCGCTTTACTGGTATACACAATGTTACGCGATAATCTTTAGTAAATAAACGGTCACAGAACAAATTGTAATTAATGTAAATACCTAATGCAGATATATATATATATATATATATATATATATATATATATATATATATATATATATATATATATATATATATATATATATATATATATATATATATATATATATATATATATATATATATATATATATATATATATATATATATATATATATATATATATATATATATATATATATATATATATATATATATATAAAGTAGGTAAATACTATGATATATGGTCAAGAAATCAACGAATATCATTTAAATGTTTCCCTTGATCATTATGTATATATTTTAAGCTTGACATTCATCAATAATTATTTATATCACATAATCCAAGACGATCAGTATGCACGTGTCTCTATGTTCTAGTACAACCTATCCTGTTTGTTGTTGTTAACATCATATTCACTTACAATTTAAAAGTCATCATCAGGGTTCACTAAGATTCTCTTATATTCCAATTCCAATTTTACTTGGGGAAAAAACAGCTGGAATGTGCCCTTAATTCCCAAACATTAGAATTTTCACAATGCGACTCACATAATGGCGCCGACAGGACTCTCCAACATGACTTATAATCCTCTAGGTGGGTGTTTTCCTCTCTCTCTTTTTTTATTCTTTCACTTTTTTTATTCTTTGCATGACTCGGTATAATCGGCTCGGGGCGACAAACACTTGTGCCGGGGACAGCGTAAGGCGCGACAGTGTGGCAACATTCGCCATGCTGTAGCGGCCGCAGCGATAGCCGATGGAGTTATTACAGGTTAAAACATGGCAACGACGGCGAGACCGCCGGACGCTGCCAGGGGAAGGTGGGGGAGGTGGTGAGTGAGGGAGTTAAATAAATGGTAAAGGGGGTTTAAAGGGTAGTTAAAGGGAAAGGAAGAGGGGAGGGGAGAAATAATTATAATGAAATTTCAAGGGTAGTTTAGCCGCAAATGAAGAGTCCGAAGCGAGAGCACCGGGTTAGAGAATTATTGACTCCGGTCGTCGTAAAAGTTGGCAAGAACCTAACCCGGGATTTATGTGTCTAACAACCCTCCCTGCCGAGTTTTACTTTTTATCTGGACAAAATAGAATCGTTATAGATTTTCTTGTGTCTCGGATTTATCGAGAATTCAGAAATGACTCTCAGCTGTTTCACTTATATTTTTGTAAGCGACTTACCAACAGATAG